ATACAGGCACCTAACTTTAGAAAATCAAGTTTGAACGTTAGGTTTAATAAAAGGATTGACCGCATTTCCTAATCTGTGTCACTAATACTGGACAGATAATGGTTCTTAACCTCTTCCATAACAAGACCTGGTCTACACTAACCCCCCAAGTCGAAGTAAGGTACGCAACTTCAGCTACGTGAATAACATAGCTGAAGTCGACATACCTTACTTCGAACTTACCGCGGTTCAGACGCGGTCCACACGCGGCAGGCAGGCTCCCCGTCGACTCCGCGGTACTCCTCTCGCCGAGCTGGAGTACGACAGTCGACGGCGAGCACTTCCTGGTTCGACTTATCGCGTCCAGACCAGACGCGATAAGTCGAACCCAGAACTTCGATCCCCAGCCGCCGAACTAGCGGCTGGGTGTAGACCAGCCCCAAGACTCCCCCGCCGCTCCCTCCAGGACTTTCCTTCTCTCTAGCTTGGGACCCGCTCCCATTTAGCATGATGGTAAGGGCACAGTGGTTGCAAACCTCATGATACTTATTTGCAAGCCTCAGGGTGGGAACCCATGCTTTAGATTATTAAAATGTAAGAATTATTAAAATTCTTTCCATGTACATCTTGACACATATGCCATAGACAGGAAGGATGGTCCAGTGGTTAGGGCCCTAGTCTAACACCCAGGTTCAATTCAATGCTCCACCAGACATCCTGTGTGACCTTGGGGATAACTGAGGCACAGAAAGGCTAATAATAGTTCCTTACCTCACAGCTGCATTGTGAGGATAAATACAATAAAGATTCTGAAGTGTTCTGAGAAATGCAGGGAAACTTGCACTGCAAATGCTGCAGAAGACTAGTTAAATCCAAAGAAAAAACTGTCTACCTTCAAAAGGGTATTTGAAAATATTGCTATTAATATTAGGTTTCCCCAAAACCTCATTATCACAATAACTAAAACTCAGACATCATCAACCAGATAGTGTCTCTTTAATTTCCTTCCCAGTGACCATGTGTTTTATCTGTTAGAGTTATTAGGAAAACACTGAGTGATTAGGGAATTCTCTGTATGTTTGTTCTTGAACGATCCATCAATTTTTATCTAGCAAGTGCCCAATATTTAAATCAAACTTGTACCTGTTTAGTTGCTGCCTTTTGTCATAAGCTCGAAGAGGCGACTGTGCTAATTAACAAGAAGGGGACCAAAAGAGAATGTGGCAGCTGCTTCCAAAGTGACAACAGACACAAAAATAAAGTCCAAGCCAGTCTGGGAAGTGGTAGAAAATCCTTTCCATATACTGCAACTATATCCAAGACAATATTGAAGAATTCAATTGAGCATAATATTTTTGTCCCTTTTTCTTGATGAAGGAAACAGACAATCTATGTTTTTTTAGGAACAACTCCCATAAACAAACTGATTTCAGTCTACCTACCCCAAGTCCCAGCAATGTGTAGGAGAAAAAGGACATGCATATTACAGTTCAGAATAAGACACTCGTTTCCCCCTTTTCATTTGATGCATGAACCATTATAGTAGTGTCATAGTGCAGCTCTGGTACAATATTCAAAAGCTAATCTGTCTCTGTCACATTCACCTAGAAAGCTGCTCAGGATATCAGGAAAGTTGACACTAGCTTTTGCTGCTTCTGCATCTGGGCCTTGATTACCTTGAGCTTCCTTACAAAGGAGGTTTATTTATGAGACCCAAAATATGGAAAGGGGAGCAAAAACGGCATCAGACATGGGACAATGCACTTATGCACAGACAAAGTACGACTAGGGTGACCATATTTCCTTATGCTGAACATGGGCCACCAGGTAAAATTACTTGTATTCAAGTGAGTTCAGTGGCAATCAATCAGAACTATGCAGTACAAACGTTCACATTAACATCAACTTGGCTGAGCCCGTTAAAAAGAAATACTGCATAGTTGGATTCTTTTAATTTACCTTCTTATCTTTAAAGCTTTAGGGTTCACACTGGGAGGAATGGCACATACCCCTCCCCCACACACACACACACATCGGGAGAGGTGAGACACACACACTCCAGTATACCTATCTCACACAGGAGGGGTGACCGATCGACCTGACCCTCTCTGCCGGGCACTCTCCGCCCTCCATGCCTGGCTGGGCCCCCGGAACAGACCCATGTCTCCTGGTACCTGGCCCCCACCTTCCTGAGGCAACACATGGGGGGGCACGCAGCATCACATACCTCCCCTCCCCAGATTTCTGCCAGGGTTCACACCAGAATGTAGCCAACAGCAGCCTTTCGGCACTGGGCGGGAGGGAAGGGGCGGGAGCTGCTTCCAGCTGCAGGGGAGTGGGGTGGGAAGGGATGACCTGGCCTGTATCTTTGCAGAGCTCATCTCTTTTTCTCCCCCACTCCTGTGGCTGGAAGCAGCTTGTCCCTTCCTGTCCACACAGTGTCGAAAGACAGCTAACCTCCAGGCTGCTGCTGGCCACCGACATAACCCAGCTGCCTCCTGTCCCTCGGCTAGAGCGCAGGCAGGAAGGGGTTAAGCCCTAAGGATGCATTGTGCACCAGGGCCCAGGGAACCTGACTGCAGGGTAGGGTTGGCCAGCAGTCTCCCAGAATCGGCCCGGTGACTATTAAAGGCTATATGGGAAATTATAATAGGCCAAAATCCAGTTGGTGGCGCAGCGGAGTTAAGGCGGATTCCCTGCCTGCCCACACCCTGAACCCCTCTCACAGCCCAACCCCCTTCTGCAGCCCTGAGCCCCCTCCCGCACCCAAACTGCCTCCCAGAGCCTGCACTGAGAACCCCCTCCCGCACTCTGCCCGGGTCAGACCCGGCTAAGGGCTGGGGCAGGGGGTGGGGCCTAACTCCCTCCCAGAACCTGTACCCCCACCCCCTGCCCCAGCCCTTAGCCCCCTCCCGCAGTCCAAACCCATCGGCCCCAGTCTGGAGCCCCCTCCTGCATCCCAAGCCCCTCATCCCCAGCCCCATCCCAGAGCCCGCACCCCTAGCTAGAGCCCTCACCCCCTCACGCACCCCAACCCCCTGCCCCAGCCCTGAGCCCCCTCCCGCACTCCAAATCCCTTGGCCCCAGCCTGGAGCCCCTTCCTGCACCCCAAGCCCCTCATCCCTGGCCCTACCCCAGAGCCCGCACCCCCAGCCAGAGCCCTCACCCCCTCCGACACTCCAACCCCCTGCCCCAGCCTGGTGAAAGTAATTGAGGGGGGGAGAATGAGCGATGGAGGGAGGAGGGGATGGAGTGAGTGGGGGCGGGGCAGGGGCAGGGGCATGGCCTCAGGGAAGGGGTGGGGCAGCAGGCGGGTCAAGGGTTATCGGGTTTGTGCGATTAAAAAGTTGGCAACCCTACTGCAGGGGCTTCAGCGAACCCACCCGGCCACAGAGGTGGCTCAGCAGGGGAGGGTGCCTCGGGGACGGAGCAGCCCCGCGCTCCCTGGGGACAGGGCCCAGGGCGTGGGAGGGAGGTGAAGCCGCTGCCCCAGGGGCTGCTGTGGAGCCTGCAGTTTTGGGGTGTGAACAGGCTGGAAATTGCTTTCCCCCCTCGCCACCACTCCAGAGCTTAGTTGGAGGGCGGAGAGGCTTCCTCGTGCCAGCGCTGTGCGGGGCTTTGACACATGCAGGGCTTGGCTCCTCCTGGCCAGCGTCCCGACCGGAGGGTCTTTGACTTTCCCAGGGCGCCTTCCCAGCCAGAGGCAGTGGGGGAAGGAGCCAGAGGCGACACATAACTGGCCATCTGGCGCCTGCCCGCACTCACCAGGCACCACAGCTCATAGCGCACAGCCAGCAGCAGCTGGAAATGGGATGGGGGGTCGGAGCCCTGCTGGCCAAGAGCTGGCACCCTGCAGCTCCGCCCCTCCACCAGCCTCGCCCCCCCGCCCCCATCGTCAGCCAATGGACCCCTTACACTCACTGCTGGTGGGCGGGCGGCTGGCAAGCAGGGATCCAGCCAGAAGCAGGATCTGCCAGTACTGATGTGGGGAGACAGAAAATACAGGACAATTTGCCTGTTTTCAAGAAACAGTTGGTACACCTGTAGGAGGGCTTAAATATGGGACTGTCCCTTTAAAAACAGGATGTCTGGTCACCCTAAGTAGAAGATACTGAAGTATGCTTAACTCCATTCCTCGGTATATTGGCAAGTATCTTTTACCTGCATATACACAGTATAACATATGTAGTCATTTTATCTAGAGAACTGGGACACATGCTTTCCAGGAAATAATAGACCTATCAGCAACTAGCAAGAACGCATTGGGTTAGAAGAGGAAAGCAACTCAAAAGCAGTATTGGTTTTCAGATTGAGAGAGGACCCATTAGCTTGGTTTTCACCCCTGTGTATCACTGCAATGGGGTGAATGGTGCTCCCATGCTAAACATTACATTAAAGTTTTACTTATTAAAGATCAGAGCACACATTCCGTGTTCCTAAACATAGCCCCGGGGATCGCTGCAACCCCTCCACTTAATTCTCACCCATGCATGTATACAAGGTGATGATGCCAGCCTGTTCTCCACTGAAAGATGAAGCATGATCACATCCTGTAATTTCCCTCCGTTTTCAATGCATGAGTTGACTATCTGGTGCTAACCAAAGGCAAAGGTGGTAGTTCGTTGTAATGAAACCTGTATGATGGCAGATGATAAACTTCCAGCGTTGTTCTTCTCGAGGCTTCTCCTCCGCACTTGTACTTCCCCAACAATTCTCCTTCCCTCAGAAGGCTCAGTCCTGATGAGTGCTGAGCACTACCTATAAGGTGTGAAGCACCCTTAACTCCCACACATACAAAATCAGCTCCAGTGGGCATGATTTTCTGTGATGCTGAGCCCTCCAGTCAACAGGAGCTGTGGGTTTTCAGCACCTCTGAAAATCAAATCTCTTCCTCTCCTTATCATCATCTCTGTAAAACCTTTCTTCTTCTTTGTAGCTTTCATCGGTCTCTCTCTCTCTCCCCCTCTGTGAAGCATTTTGTATTACATTACACTGCCCATGCTTGGGAATTGAAGACTCACCATTATCGAATATGATGCCTGCTGTGAAGGAGAGCTCTGAGTCATGTTCTGCTTTGCAAGCATACAAGGCTCTGGCTTTCCGGAATGGTGAGCTGTGAAAATAGAGAAAGAGCATGTATTTGACATAAAAAAGAAAATCTCTATTAAAAATATAACACAATTTCCATGCCCACTCTCTTTGAGGAAGATGCCAAATGGAAGGGTGAAAAGGTTACCCAGGTCAGGGGAGAAAAAATTCAGAATATTTCAGATAAAGTCAAGCTCTCTCAGAGATATCACTTCCACCAGAGTCCCATTTCACCATATTGGAAATTTCAGTGTGAGCAAAACTGAAGCATTGAGGAACAGGGCATGTACAGAGTTGCCCAACACACTGAGCAGCACTAAATCAGAGGTCACTGGAAGAGTTTCCTGTCCATTAAAGGGGAGAATTAAATAAGGCCAGAGTAAGTTGGGAATATGTTGTGAGTCACTGAAGAGAAATGTCTATCTAAAACCCTAGTTCCTACTTGGGGCAGACAGGCAGGCATCATTAGTAGTCACTCATTGACACTGTAAATCAGTCAGGATGGTTTGTTTTTAACATTTACCCAAAAAATATTTTAGAGTTCATTTCTAGCTGTATCTGCAGTGTTCTAGTTCCTGGGAACGACTCTGCACTCACAGACGAGCACTTCCAAAACAGAACAATAAGTAACTTCTATTAATAATTTGTTGCCCTTTTTCAGAACCCACCACCTGAGGGTCTCAAAACCCTTAACAAACATTAAACTTCAAAACCTGCCTCTATATTATCTCCACTTTGCAGTGGGGTAAACTGTAATGTCATGTAAAGTCCATTTATTCATATCTGAATACTGGTGACCTCATAACAGAATTTTCAGAAGCATTCTTAATTCATGGCTAACTTTGCACCTCAGCAGATGACCTGCCACACACCGTCTATTGATCTCCTCATTGGTTGTTCCCTACTATGACGACCCGCCATCTTTCCATCCATGATAGCTTTCTCAAGATTATTTCCATCTCTATGCCTGACATGACCTAAGTACGTAAATTTATTTCCCGACAACAGGTCTGCTTTTCTCCAACAATATTTCATCTTCTTTGCCATCCAGGAGGTATGTAAAAATCTTCACCAGGATGGCATCTCAAAGGCATTAATTTTCCTCTTAGCAGCAGCAATTGTTTCTCGGGAGTCACATCCATAAGTTGCTATGGAAACAAATAAGCTTTTCACCAGTCGAACCTCCAGGGTAAACTGAGGCAGAAAGCATTCGCATCCAAAAGTCAACCAGCAATTCACTGGTAAAGAGGGGAACAGAATGCAGGTGTCTCTGGCTCTTGCTTCAATCAGCAGACCACAACATAAACTGAGATATCTCAGATTTCTAGTCAGGTGGGAAAGAGTTAGCTCATACTTCCACTTCTGTCTTAAGGTCAAACAAGACTGATCAGTAGGAACTAGGACAAACTAGGATTTATTGTGGTATTTTAAGCAGACGACTAGAGTATATTTTATGTAGCATATTTTGCAGTTTTGGAAATAAGGAAACTGGGATATCCCTCCCATTTCAGTGAGACAATCATGCAGGAAGCTGTATGCTGACTCTGCCTCAGATGGAAAACCCACCAGAAAAATGGAAGCCTCCTGCCTGAATTGGGAGCCCTAGAAGGCAGAACGCTTGTCAAGTGGGTTTGGCTATATGCGTCAGCCTTGGAAATGGAATGTTTGTTACCTGTCCAGTTCCTTACTGGGACTCACAGTCCAAGATATTTGGGCTGTGCCTCTGCTCATACAGATACCAGGGGCAGCATAGACTTATCAAGGAGGTGTCAAGATTTTGGCTCTCAAGCCAATCAAGTGCTTCCAAAACAGTATGAAAACTCTGAACTGATATCAGTAGATTCAAACAACAATAATGCCTTGTTGAACTGAGTTCAGTGCTCTTTTTAGGAGCATTACTTTAAATGCCTAGATCGCTTTGGCATTTAGACTTGAACTTCTTGTACCCCCTTCCCCCCAATCCCGAGGGGATTTATTTACATTGCCTGAACAGATCAGGGTGTATTCCTACCTCAGTTGATCATGGAAGCCACAAAGACCCAACCTGACTGCTCTTCTCTTTGGAAAGTTGATGCTCTGTGGCTTCCCTGACCTTGACAATGTTCTCGGTACATATAGTACAACCTGAAAGGCTAGGCTCTCTGGTCAGGAATTGGGGGGTCTGGATTGTGGAGGGAGGGTCCTTCATTTTCTTGAGCTTCCTTTTGCCACTGAAAGACTGAACCACTCTGAATAGAATCGACACTTGCCTTTTCATTATGTTTCATCACCCGTTGAAAAGAGTTCCAGCTCCCTCAGAGGGAAAACTCAGGCAGGGTGCATAGTGCCATGGGGGCCACAAGAGGGTGCTGTGTAAGCCACTCTGATAGTCTTCTAGGTCACTTCCCGCAAGATGCCTGATGATGAGGCCCTGACATGTGTATCATCCAATAAATATGAGTCATTGTACTACTCCTGGCTATTATCACGATCGATGCCTTTATGAACACTCTGGGAACACAGAACAGACTTAAGGGTAACGTTTCCTGTAGATAGTGGCAATTTCCATAGGTGAACTAAAGAAAACCAGTAACAGGGCCTGACTGGAATACGCAGATAAGCTTCATGGTGGCAATACCTGGAGAGATTGCACCAATAGCGGGAGCTAGAGTCTCCACCTTCAATTTCATCTTCTCTGTCAACTTAATAATCTGCTTGAGATCTAACACAGCCTGGACTCCTCCAAATCTTTTTCTCATTATGGAGTAAAGTCCTGAGCACCTTTCTCCCTGAGAGAAAAGTTCTATTGCCCCGGTTCCACATTGTGTGAGGTTTCGTTCAGGACAGCTTGATGTTCCTCATCTTCTGTCAAAGTTGATTTCTAATGATAGATCCTATCTGTTTCTGTGTATGGTCTTTTGGGAAGAAATCCATCTTTTCAGGATTGACCACATCCTTTGCCAGGGATAACTGTACCCTATCATACTTTGGTTGATGAAGAGAGCATATTTGGGTTCTAGGGCACTGTAGAATTCCAGGACTTGCTAAATGAACCTTTTCCCTTTGTCTCTTCCCCATGATGTTTCTGAAGGAAAATGACAAATTCTGTCCTAATTATAGATGTGGGGTATTTGTGTTTGGCCTTAGCTTGCTTGTACTCTCTCTTTCTGGCTGAATCTCAATGGTTACAAATATACCTAGCGGGGAAAATACGATGAATTAAGGCTGAGAATTCCCCAGGGGAGGAGCTCATGGAAGGAGATAAATGTCTGCAGCACTTTAGGCATTTTCTGCTATTGCTTTGTTTCTGAGGGAGAAGGGGAGGATGGTCATCCCCATCTGAGGATTGTTCTCTTTTCTTGCCTGGTCTTACCCCAGGGGCTGTGGGGAGAAGAGTCTTAAGCATTCTTCATTATTCAATCTACATTTGGAGAGAATATGTAGCGAAACATCCAGTGTGTTGAAGAAGAATGATCTGCCCTTGTGTAATTGTCTATAAAGAAGTCTCAGCTGGTGTGGGATGATGCAGAGGCCCCAACAAGCCACCCTAACTGAGGGGAGCGAAAATCTGTTGACTGAGAATGACTGTGGCTCATTAGATGGTCTCTTTGCAGATGGGTGCTTCTTGGACTTTGGCTTGCTCTCCCATGATGCAAAGGGGAGGAAACAACAGAGACAAAGGAGCTTGGCATTCAAGGAGCAAAGTCCCAGAAATTGTGGTCCCCTAAGAGGAGGGAGTACGAGATCCTGCTCACGGCTGCTCTCAAATCAGTTTTTGAAGCTGGGATTACAGATAGATAAAGTGGGAGGCCTGACCCACCACTTTGTTTGTATCTGAAGTGTGGAGGGGGAGTGGTAGGGCATGGCCAAACCCTGGAGGCTCATGGACAAGTCTGAATGGTCTCCACTGTTTTGTCTTATGTTTCCCAGTAGAGCAGTTGTTTGTAGCAAGGGGAAGAAAGTGTGTTAACCTGACAGAAGTGATTGGAAAGTAAGATAAGTGGATAGTAAGAAACCCTGAAAAATGGATAGGCAACCACGTAAATATAATCTCTCTCCATCAGTACCATTCGGACATGACTTCTGATTTGTCATACAAGAGCTAATTGGAATCTATAATCTAAACGCGGAATATTTGGAAGTTCAGATGCAGCGAATCTAATTCCTCACAGGGCAAATAGATTTTCTTTGAAACAACAAATCTTTTACACGTGCATTTAAAAAAAAAAATTCGGTCACTTTCCTTTGCAGGGGCTCGTTCATCAAAAAAAGAGCCTTTTCTGTTAGTACCATTTTCATTCAATATAAATAGGAAACCAAAACAAGCTCACTACCATCCGAAAGAACCCCTGGCTCCTTCCCCAAACAACAACAACAACAAATAAAGAGCAGTAAGAAGCAGGGTTTATTTGTCTCATGAGGGTTCATCATCATCTCTCCCACCACAACATTCTGAGGTTTGCTTTGGGATTTTGAGTTTTTTCAAGGCAAATCTTGGTTGAACCTGTCTATTTTCTCCAGCTTCTGACTTGAAACAATCAGTTGGCCCAAATTTGCTCAAATTGGGCATGGATTCTCCCAGAAGTTTTGCAAGCCTCTTCAGTAAACCTGGTCAAATTCATAACAAAATCTCAGACTGGGATTTGTAATTTCATTGTAGGGTGACCAGACGTCCTGATAAAATCGGGACCGTCCCGATTTTAGCTGTTTGTCCCGCGTCCCGACCGATCTCTGGTCGGAACGCAGTTTGTCCCAATATTTCGCTCCGCCGGCATTTTTTTTTTCCCCCTCCGCTGGCAGCCCTTGGCTTTTTTTTTTTTTTTTTTTTTTGCCCTCCCTCCCCCCGGTGTCCCGATATTTTCTTCCTCTCATCTGGTCACCCTATTTCATTGACATGCTTTGGTACAGCTCCAAAGATGATACTTTTCCAAGTTTTCCCATCCAGTTCAATTGGCGGTCAAGGGTGGGGAGTGGCACTGTTAGACAAACACAAACTAAAGGGGTTACATCTCTACCATTCAGGAGCCACGTAGGACTCACTCAGCATGCAAAACTTTGTGGAGGTCATAGAAATAAACCAAAGGTATTTTCTTGGCAACGGCCCTGAATTATTTAAGCTGTTGCTATTTTTGTGAAATAAACCCCACCGCTTGGTCCCCAACCACTTTTTTTGTCCTCACAGCACCTCAGTGCAGGTTACTATTATCAGGACTGTGCCATTTCTGCTGCTGCTGCGCCCTTCAAGGAGATAAAAAGGCTTGCATCCTTCTGATCACTCATTTTTAATTTCTGCCTCCAAGCATGGCATAGGGCCAGGAAAGCACTCAGTGGAGTTTTCCCAATGTGCCCTTGTACAATTTATAGAATGAGGGAGTCGTCCTCTCAGAAAAGGGGCTACTTAGATGATATTACACCATTGTTAGGCCATCGCAGGCTCCCATCAAAACAAATAACCTGCTGAATAGACAGGAGTTAAATGTGGCATTTGTAAGTCGTGGGTGAAGGTAGTTTTCAATTTTTTCAGGTAAGGAGCAGCACCCAGGTTCTGCCTTTCTCCCTGAGAGGGAAGAGACATCTCTCTTCCTGCTGCTCTGCAACATTTATGCACTAATGAATACTAATTAAAGGACGGGAAAAAAGCAAAGATAATTCCCGCTTAGGCTGTTCTTAAAGGAATTAATATGGCTTTTTATTGCATTTTTTATGATCCACTTGAAGAGAAGGGGCCTGTTCAGAGGGCAGCTTTCTGGAGGTCATATTGAAAATCATCAGAGGATGGTTATTGCCACCTCTGGGTTATATACTGTAGCAGTGCAGTTGCCAGAGATGGGCTGGGGTGCTGCCTACTAATGAGTGTTAGATATTAAGGCATCAATGCTGCTCTACAATCCAGCACAGCAAAGCAGCTGGCAAGCCTGGTTAAACAAATCACCTTGAATAAACTAGTACAGGGAGAGTAGGCAGGGAAAAGGGGGTGTGGTACAGGTGACAGATCTGTAAGCCAAACTGACTGCTTCTAGCTCCCATACCAATCATAAGAGGACACAAATATATCAATGATGTTGCACCCAATTTCATTTCTTTTACAAGGTGAATAGTCTTTGTATTCCCCCAACTCCCATAATACGATACATATTCAGTACAAAGGTTTATGTTGAAGAGAGGCACATTCCTGCTATACATTGCATGTTTCTTCAACGGAAGATAAACTAATCACAGCAGCCAGTTAGAATACTCCAAGTTCTCAGGGCTACAGGAGATGGCATATCGCAAAACAAGAATGCTCTAGAAAAAATGGGTATTTTGGCAGTTGAGACCATGCAGCAGTTTTCAGTACTTAGAGGCACCATGAGGCTAGGCACTTTAGAAATAACCTAGGTAGAGCATTATATAATACCATATTCTTCCACCTCAAAGGGTAAGATTTTCAAACTTTCCTTTAGAGGGTGTCCCCAACTTCCAGGAGCAACTTATTTCATGTGACATCTAACTACCTGAGATGCAGACACAATAAGACAGATGTCTATATTACATAGTTTCATTCAGTAATTGGCACCCATAAAATTGCAGGTGTGAAAAAGGAAGATTGGGCTGGGGGGAAAAATCAAGGCCCATAGTATTTAACAATTCTTAGTTATGCCTTGCAACACTCCTGTGAGGTTAGTGCATTTCTTACCTGTTGTAGAGATGGTAAAATGAGGTTCAGGTAATTTAAGAGACTTGGCAAAGGTCACACAGCAAGACAACTGTAGCAGTGGGAATAAGACTTAGGGGTCATGATTCCCAGTTGCCTGCTCTGATCACTGAGAAATTCTCTCAATGGTCTACACCACTGTTGGGATGAGAGGAACACCTGATAGATAATTAAGTGTTGTTAGGTCATCTCAAACCGTTCCTCTTGGATCATGGGATGTTTGGAAGTTTCCTCTCTTGCTGCATGAAGGCAGCTGAAGACCAATGAAGACTGGTAACTAAAACAACAAGCTAGAGACCAAAGCTGGACTGCACTGGGGGAACTTGAACAAGACACACAGAAAAAAAAAAGTAAATAAAAATATAATTGCAGCAGCAGCAACAGAAAACCAGAACAAACTCTGCAACAGACCTGATGGGGGATGAGTCGCTGGACGTAGAGGAGGTGGGCATAGGACTTGATGGCGCAGAGAACATGGGCCAGGACGGTGAAAGGGGTGATGTTGGGCTTGGATTCTGAGGGCTGCAAGACAGAATCAGATAACTTATCAACACACAACCATCACAAACAAACAAAACAGAGAAAGACATTCCAACAACATCCAACGAGAGTAGGTGCCTGGGGAATATTCACAGCATGAAACAAAGCTACAAAATGGAACACTGAGACCTTGGCAAATAGTTTCAAGGCCAGATCTGCATTTCTTTAGAAAAAAGGGCTGGACCTTGCAATTAATCCCTGCTCTATTATTCTTTTGCTGGCAAGCTGGCTGCTTTGTTGTATGGAACGACTACATTCTAGGTTACAGAGGTCATCTCACTGCACACAGCTGCTTTCTTTCCCTAGCTACTTACCTGCTTTGTTTTATTTCCCCCATTGTTGCCAGGCTGTTGATCACATTTCTGGACATGAATGATGTCTGTAACCAGCCTTTCATTCCTCTTTTTATTTTGGTGGTCGTGGTGTGCAAGTATGAAAGGCTATTCTCTGGGCTGCAATCCACAGTGCCCGAAAACAATTTTCTGTTTATATTTTTAACTAAATGGGCCTTACACACTGGAAGCCTAGAGGAGTTCATTATCTGAAGGATGGCAGGGAAGTTCTTCCATTCTAGTATCTGTCTGAAGAAAATTAATACGGAAAAACCTCCAATAAATATGCCCCACATCAGGTAACTTAGGTACCTACTACGAAAAAAGAAAGACCCGTCACTCCAATATTGACAAGCCCACAACAGAACACCTATTCCACATGCTCTCTGTGACTAACTCAGCTTGCTGACATGGACTCTTTCTCTGTTCTGAGAACGAACGAAAACCAATTTTTAAGTATAACCTATTTTGTGAAATCAGCAAAAGGCTATTGAGGAAAGCATCAATGCACTATCTAATGGGATTTCTGCCAGTGCAGGTACAGGACCTATTATTCAAGTCGGCAGCTAAACGCAATTGGTCTATAGCTGTCAAACTTATAAATGATCAGGAGCCTCTGTTGGGACTCCAGCATGAACCAATCTATCACGATGCAACTGGTTTGCGGGTGATGTAAATGGCTGATATGCATGTAATAGAGTCTGCTCATTATTTTTGCAGTGCTTGCTTTGATTTTTTTCCTCCTCTACTGTAACCTTTCCACTGCCTTTTTAATTGCCTTGTTTTAAACTTCACTCTTTTTCCTCCTCTGTAGAAGAGTAATCAACTCAGCTAGCTCTGGAATTTATTAGATACCGATTCAGTACTTTTCCTTGAAGTATTAGCGTCGTAACACAGAATAAAGTGGAACCAACCTTATAGCAAATTCTGGGAGAGTGAAACTCCTCTTATAGAGAAGTGGAGTAAAACTTCCTTAACTGTTTCAGTGCCTTTCAGGGGATCTAAGTATAATTGTAACAACTGCACTAAAAGAATGTGCACCACTTGAAGTCCCAATCTTCTAGCCTTCCAGTGTGTTTGGTGTCTGAACCATATTGTCTGTCTAATTTAGATTGTAATCCATGTTTTGTACAACACTGAGCATGCTACCGGCCCTCAACAAGCAGTATATAAAAATGCCAAGTTGGGTTACTTTGTAAAGATTGGTTTTATGCTTCAGTCCTCAGTGAGGAATCAAATTCCTTGTTCCATTTGTCCTTGATACGCAGTGGGGGCTGCAAGCTAGAGATCATGCAGCCACCGACCTATGGGCAGCCACCACTATTGTAGACAAATACAGTACTTAAAGGGAAGTGGAGTAGAGGATTCGATGCTAAAATAACATGGCTGATGAGTCTTAAGAGATTAAATTTGTGTTTGAGAAAATGGCAAAATGGATCTGTCTCTTATGTTAAGAGACTCCCAGAGGTTGTTACTAAGCCAGTTCCCCCCTACTTTGGGTTGCTATACCAAGGGGCACTGGATGAAGTTAGTAAGTTGTTCTGTTCTTTTGAGAATGGTCCAAAGGAGCTGGAAATCAATCCCTTTTGAGCAGTTAAGAAAAGTGGTTTGGACAACAGAAAAGAGTATAGTCAGGTCCTTCCCAAATGCCAGGCCATGCGTATACCGCATTCTAGGAAACAGCATGGGCACATGAAACCTGTCTTCTGGCTCCTTCTAACCAAAGTTTCCTAACATTATTACACGAATCACGTTAGGGGCAACATCTGTGTTTTTTAAACATCACAATAAAAAGGTTTTTTTTTAAAAGAACAAAGACAAGGAAAAATCTTCTGAAAACAATGACCTTACGCTAGACTCCAGCTCATGGTTTCTGTTTCTTATCATAGGACTTGGACTGGCCCAAACTCTGGAATATTTTATTAGAGTGAGAGAGAGAAGTCAATAGGATGGACAATATCCTTATTCAGTTTCAGGTTATGTTTCAAATGCCAACCTCCTATCACAAACAAATCAGCAGTTTCGGCGATAGGTTAAAGGATACTGTTGAGTAATTTTTGGCACCTTTTCTTTCCTTTGCTTGAATTACTCTTTTAATAGCTTGAAAATAAAATTTAACTCCCTGCAGATCATGCTCTTCCTCCACTTGTACAGCCCTCATTCCTCCCACCTGAGTTCATGGACAAGCCAGTATCCCCTGTCAACGTTCGGAGGTTCTTATGGTTTCTCACACTCTTAACTCTACATTCTAAAACCCTCAACATTCTAAAACAGTCTCTCCAACACTCAAGTCCCCGCTAGTCTAAATGATGAGAGAATGTGATACAAATCTGGGTTTCCTGCATCCCCTTTTATTTGTACTTGAAATGAACATGGCTCCGTTTTGCTTGTGTCCAATTCCATGCAAATCTCATCTGTCCCATGTTGGAGTTATCACGAATCGGGCGAGAGAAAAGTGTGTTAAAAGAGTTAGTGGATTCAGTCCACTTTCTCACCACTCAAAAATCATCATTACAGTCGGTACCAAGAGGACATTGTCTACCATGTTTTAAAAGAGGTCAAATCTTCAGCCTAAACTACTTGATGTCCATGCCTATTCAGGAGTAAACGCTTCCTTGCCTTATTCACACGAATAGCAGTCCCACTGAAGTCAATAGGAGCAAACAATCTCCTTACCTTTATTACTTAAGAAAGTCATATTTAGAGAGAGATAAGTAAGTACAGTAGCACATTAGAATTTCCTTAGGAATACTATATGAAAAAAACCCCATCGAATGATTTTATACAGACTTCTATCAGAAATCCCTAACATAGTTCTTTGATAGATATCAGGTTTTAAAAAAAATTATTTATTTTTATTTGATATTTTGCTAAAAATTGGTCATTCCTTTATAAAAATGACAAATTGTCTCCAGACCTTTGTTTATTTATCTATTTTAGCAAAACCTCTTAGGTTACTTGAATTTATTATTTATTGAATATATTCTACGTTTAAACAAAGGATGGGACTGCAAAAGGGACAATTAGCCCAGATCATACAAATTAACCGTTTTTTGTTCTCTCTCTGGCAGGCATAGGATGCTAGCTATCTTGTGATGACATTATACCTTCTAGTAACGCATCAAGTTGTAGAGCACAGTAGCAGGCAAGTATGGCTTATTCAATGTGTGTATGGGCATGCTTCTGCCCTTGAATGGAAAGAATATGCTAGATCCATTGAAATATACATGAGTTCTTCTCTCAACTGTATGAGAGACTTGAGCTCTTCCACCTCCTTTGGTGTAATGAAGAGGAGCTTGTCTTTTGGAAGCTGAAGTTCATCAGTTCTGTTCCTCATGCTAACCCTATGCAATGCTAAGGAGTTACGGAACATTACAAGTCTCTTATAGTGTCACATCGTTACATGGTAAATACAATGGAAATTACATCATTATTTCATCTTTACAATAGTGGACAGGGTACATATGCTTTTAGACTTTCTACTACTACTCTACATTTACATGGCACCTTCCATGAGAGGCTCTCAAAGCACGGTATAAGGAGGATGTCATACTACTCATTGGTAAACTGAAGCTTAGAGAAGTGAATTGGCTCGCTCCGGTGAGTCAGTAGCAAATGTGGGCATAGAACACTTGACTTCCAGCCTCCAACCACTTCACCTGGCTGTCTTGCTACCAGACATTCTGCAGTTTCAGAATAACTTACAGGAAATCTTATATTCTACGAAAGGCATTTTATCTACCAGTGAGTCTTTAGTAGTTACAATACCCAGTGAAGAGAGTTCACTGCAGGACTTGGGATATTTAGGAATGTGTAATTAAAAGCATTTCCCTCTATATGGTATATTGGACCTATACACTGTTTTTGAGATTAAACTCATTTCGAAACAATGTAATTCTCATTAATCTTAAAGACAGCTGCGTCACCAGTATGTATTTCCACATTAGCCATTTAGTCCACTGCACTAATGACAATATAAAATATAATCAAGGTTCTCAGAAAAGAGAATTATTTCTATTTTTTTTTTTAAACTTATAGTAAGGAGCACATCTTTCAAACTAACCTTTGTCTAGGAAGCTGTTACTGTAAGCCATTTGGGCCAGGGACTGCCTTTACTGTGGGTCTTGGATGGCACAGAAAACACTGTCGGTGCCTATCAAACCGATCAATGAAAATAATAATTAATGAAGATATGCATTATATTAAATGGAAAAATGATCCCATTTCAATTGAGTTACACAACTCTCTTCAAGTGGAGTTGCATCAGCATTGATTTTGGTTCAAGTTGACCAAACTATTCTCTGCTCAGTCTTAGAAGTCATTTTGTAAGAATCTTTACAGGAAACCTCTTCATGAAGTAGACATTGTGTTTTTAGGATTGTAGAATGTGCCATCCTTATGTTCATGCCTACCAGCTCTGTGATCAACACACAAGTGAATGGCCTCCTCCCTCTCAATATGCTTTTATTTATTTTTTCCTTTTAAAACCTACTCTAACATACTGCTTGAATATTGTCCAACTGTTCCAGTTATGTAGCCACAGAGCCTATGCTTTCCCTATGTCTCTTTGGCAAGCAAGGGTGGTTGAATAAACACACACTATTCTGGGATCTCTTTGTATCTTGGAAAGCAGTTATTTTTGTATGGACT